CGAAAGATATTCGCATATTTGTAAATTATGCGTTTGATGTGGATATGCGATTACAAAAATGCGAAATGTTTTCGCATAGTCATGCGTCCGCTTGGATATGCGCTGGTTCATTTGGACATGCGACTGTAATATCGCATAGCATTTCGTGAGTTTTGGGGTGTAAAAGAAGTTATTTCATGGGGCGGTGTGTAAAAGAAAGAATAGATTTATAATGGAGTGAAAAAGATTTTGACCCTTTAGGATTTTATGGTAGTAGATTATGTTAGGATATTTACTTACCTTAGGATTTAATATTTTATTGCTTTATTAGTTTCCTAGTAAGATTAGAACTAGAGGTAATTAGGATCTATAAATAGGGATGTTCCCTCATTGTTTTTCATGTCTTGGATTTGATGAAATAGAAAAGAACGTTTGTTCGAAACTGTGTGTTAGGATTCGTGAGAGTTCGATCATGCAATCGAATTGGTGAGGCTAAGACCCAAGCCAGTTCAACCGAGTTAGAGAGGCTAAGACCCGATCTAGTTCAAAAGAGTGTAGCGAGGCTAAGACCCGAGTGAACTCAAGTATCGTGAGAGAGTTAGGCTAATAACCGAGTCGATCACACCTATCATCGAGAGCAAGGCCGTGATCGAGACAAGTCAGGGTAACGGAACACACGATCCTTCATCAACGGTCGCGTGCGCGTGCTGTACGCACGGCTATGCACGGCGTGCGTGCATGCGTACGTGTATAATGTACCTTGTGTACATTCATGACTTAGCTTGATTTTTTACTTCGAAATTAAATCCGAATATCCTTAACTTTTAATAATTAATCCCGATTAATAATATCCGTTTATAAAATAAACAGTTCTTAAATTAATTATCGACTTTGACTCGGTTAATAATTAACCGAATAGACTTTTCGACTTAACGTCGAACTTATTTACTTAAACACTGAAAATGAACGAGATTAATAAAAGAAAATACATCACTTCTATTAACAAGAAATTGGGTTATTACAATCTACCCCCCTTAAAATATTTCCGTCCTCGGAAATATAAAACTGAACATATATACATCATAACTGAAAATCAGGAAAACGAGCGCGAATGTCAGCCTCCTGCTCCCAAGTGGCTCCGTGGCAATCCCACTGAATACGGACGAGGGGAACATCACGCTTCCGGAGCCGTCGAACCTGTCGGTCCAACACAGCTATCGGTCGCTCCTCGTAAGATAAATCTGGATGAATCTCAATATCAGTGTGAGGAATGACATGATCGGGGTCGCACACGTACTTGCGTAACATGGATACATGAAAGACATTATGAACACCGGATAACTCGGGAGGTAAGGCTAAACGATACGCAACATCGCCCACTCACTCGAGTATTTCGAACGGGCCAATGAACCGAGGGTGTAACTTCCCTCTCTACCCGAATCGAACGACTCCGCAAAATGGACTAACTCTGAGAAAAGCGTGCTCGCCAACCTCGAATTGGATATCTCGTCGATGATGATCGGCGGTTGATTTCATTCTACTCTTAGCTGTCTTGAGTCTCTGTCGGATCAACTCGACTTGTGCTGTTGTCTCCTCGATTAACTTCGGGCTGAGTACTCGACGTTCACCGACGTCGTCCCAATAAAGAGGGGAACGACATTTACGACCGTACAGTGCCTCATAAGGAGCCATCTGAATAGAAGAATGATAACTGTTATTGTACGAAAACTCAACATACGGTAATAACGACTCCCATTTAGCACCCCTGTCAACAACCAAAGCTCGCAACATATCCTCTAACGTCTGAATAGTCCGCTCTGTCTGTCCGTCAGTCTCTGGATGGTAGGCTGAACTGAATGCTAGCTTCGCACCCATCGCCTCGTGTATACTCTGCCAGAATCTACTAGTGAATCTGGGATCTCTGTCTGACACGATAGTAACAGGCACTCCGTGGAGTCGAACGATCCCACGGACATAAATCTCAGCCAACCTGTCCAAAGACATACTCATCGATACTGGAAAGAAATGAGCAACCTTAGTCAATCTGTCGACCATGACCCAGATAGCGTCGTGATGTTCAGACGACTTCGGTAAGCCCGTAACAAAATCCATCGTAACCTCCTCCCACTTCCACTTCGGAATCGGCAGTGGTCGTAGAAGGCCTATGGGACTCTTATGCTCGGCTTTGACTTGCTGACAGGTTAAACATCTCCTCACAAAATTGGCTACGTCGTTCTTTAATCCTAGCCACCAAAACGACCTTTTTAGGTCATGATACATCTTTGTACTTCTTGGGCTAGATATGGTGCGGTATGAGCCTCAGTCAAAATCTCCTTCCTCAATGCTTCGACTTTTGGCACCACAATCCTGCCACAAAATTCCAAGGCCCCATCAGTGCCTCGGTAAAAACCCTTGACGTCTCTGGCACAAACTTTGGCATTAATTGCACGAATAAACTCATCTGAAGCTTGCTCTTGCCGGATCCTCTCCCTTAGCGTCGGCTGAACCTGCATAGAACTAACACTCCCCGTAACGACTGTAGAAAGTGCATCAATCACCTGAATCTGAATCCGGGCGAACTCCTGAATCAATTGACTCTGCTGAGTAACAACGTAAGTCAAGTCAACCTTCACCTTGCGGCTTAGGGCATCAGCAACAACATTTGCCTTTCCTGGATGGTATTGAATCATGAAATCATAATCCTTGACGAGCTCTAACCAACGGCGTTGTCTCATGTTGAGCTCCTTCTGGGTAAAGATATACTGTAGGCTCTTATGATCGGTAAAAATCTCGCATCGACTGCCGTACAGGTAATGTCGCCAAATCTTAAGGGCATGAATAACTGCAGCTAATTCCAAGTCGTGCGTCGGATAGTTCTGTTCATGTGGTTTGATCTGGCGTGAAGCATAAGCAACGACTTGGCCATCTTGCATGAGCACACATCCCAAACCCTGCCTCGAAGCATCACTATAGTTGGTGAAACTCCGAGAAGGATCTGGAATAGTCAACACCGGTGCTGTCGTAAGTCTCCTTTTTAGCTCCTGAAAACTCGACTCACAACGGTCTGTCCATTCAAACTTCACAGACTTCCTTGTCAGCTAAGACAAAGGGAGGGCAATCTTTGAGAACCCCTCAATAAATCTGCGATAATAACCTGCAAGGCCGAGGAAACTACGAACCTCGGACGGATTCTTCGGTGCTGACCAATTCTGGACTGCGGCAATTTTGGAAGGATCAACTTCAATACCTGCTTGAGTGACAATGTGGCCAAGAAAGGCCACTCACTGAAGCCAAAATTCGCACTTGGAGAACTTTGCATATAACTTCTCACGTCTAAGGGTCGAAAGAACGGCCCTCAGATGCTCCTCATGCTCCTCCTGGCTCTTGGAATAGATAAGAATATCGTCGATGAAAACAATAACGAACTGGTCAAGAAAAGGATGAAATACACGGTTCATCAAGTCCATGAATACTGTCGGGGCATTACTGAGGCCAAACGGCATAACCAAAAACTCGAAGTGACCCTATCTCGTACGAAATGCTGTCTTGGGTATGTCTGACTCCTTAATTTTTAGCTGATGGTAGCCTGAACGCAAATCAATCTTGGAGAACACGCCGGCACCCCTCAACTGATCAAATAAATCATCAATCGTGGGAAGCGGATATTTATTCTTGATCGTCAACCGGTTAAGATCCCGGTAGTCGATACACATATGCATAGATCCGTCCTTCTTCTTGACAAAGAGAACGGGTGCTCCCCAAGGGGAAACGATCGGTCATATAAAACCAAGATTCAGCAACTCTTGAATTTGGGTCTTTAATTCCTGCAACTCTTTAAGTGCCATTCGGTACGGCGCCTTAGAAACGGGTCCGACTCCAGGGATAAGATCAATAGAAAATTCCACCTGTCGGCTAGGTGGACCTCCGAGAAGCTGGTCTGGAAACACGTCCACGAACTCACGAACAATGGGAATGTCATGAAGTGAACGTGCCTTTGGCTCATCTCCAACGAGGCTCACGAGGTAACCCTGGCAATCACCCCGTCGAAGAATCGTTCTGGCTTTCACCATAGAAATAACATGGGGCAGAGTACGAGTCCTGGAGCCGTAATAAGTGATCTGATCATCTCCCGGAAGATAAAGAGTAATCTCCCGGTCGTAACATCGGATATCTGCGTGAAAA